AAATAGCATAACAATGAAATTTTGTTTACTGTCCTTGCCAGATTCTTCATTTTATTAGATAAATGTTGCAAATTAGGAAATAACAATATTGTATCTTTATCTCGGCCATTGTAAAATTTAGATTTTATTGAGTCAAATCGAGTTTACCTTTTTTTTTAAATTGATTAAATGATGCATTGAATTATAGGCTCCTATTTGGACATAATAACTTACGGTACCATGATTTTCTGAGAACTCCAAAGAACTGAGAACCAATAAATGTTACCTGAAAATCTTTTTTTTTATATGGTGTTATACTGTTTTAATAGATACAAAGTATTTATATATTTTTTTTAAATCTAAGTTCTTCAAATGATGTATTTACTTTTCAAATTTCCATTTATATGTAACAATGTTTAAATGATTAAACAAAACTAATCCTTTGAAACTTTTTTACTCTTATGTTTAAAAACAGGCTCAGTGTGTAAAACCTTCGCTCGCCAACTCGCCAAAGGCAAGTAAGAAACAAATATGGCGAGCACAGATGCCGGGTAACTCCCCAATGTTGCGAGTAATATGAAATACTTCAATTGACCAGAAAAAAAATTCTCTGGCCAGTTGAAGTATTTTGACAGTTGTCAGGCCTTATATTGTCAAAGGTCCATGAATCTTAAGTCTGTTATAAATCTAGTTTCAATGTGTAGTGTTACTAAAAATGATATTCCTAGCTCCTAAACAGTTTATTTATCGCGATTGGCAAACTAAAACATTAATATGATGACTTGACACTTCATTGAATCAGCATGCTAAACCTACTATACTAACCCCACCTCACGGATTTTAATTTCTTAACATGACTGAAATAAACGTATTTTGCATACAGTTGGGTATCAGTGAGTTACAAATAAAACATTTAATATTTATTTTACCTTCCTATGGTCCATGTATGTTTATTTTAAGCAAAATAAAGGATGGACATTGTATTTGTTGACCAGATTTGAAAGCCATTTTTATACTTTTCTGAATGTTCAACAAGTTCAATCGAGAGCAAATTATGAAATAGTAATTTCAAAATGGAAGAGTTTTCAAGGCTAAATAATTTAAACTAACAAAAGGAACTAAAAAAAAAGCAAAACCAGAAACTAAACATAAAAAGGCCTTTGGTGCAGAACAGTGTAAATATTCATGTTTTTTAAATAAAAAATGTGATAATTATAGTAGAAGAGGCTGCTCAATAACTCCAGCATGTGTACTAAGATTTATCCATAATCATGGGAATAAGGAAGTCTGGTTATGACAAAAAAACTTTTGACTTGTCAGTTGTGGTAAAAATGTAGTTGACTGCTCCCTTATATAACTGAGACTACTATATGTAAACAGTAATTTAAATTGTCAAGTTACATGTACCAGTTATATATAGAATAAAATGATGAACATAAGAACATGCATTTAGTAAGTGGAATGGAATAATATGTTTTAATAATTATGTATGTAAAAGACAGCGAATTCCAAAAGTAAATCACTCCCCAAAGTGGCAAGTGGAATTTCAATTTGGCGAGTTGAAATGAAAAGCTGCTCGCCAATTTGGCAAGTAAGAAAAAAAAAAAGGTTTCACACACTGAGGCTGTGTTTAGATATACGCCTAAGGCAGCCTTTGGTTACCTAAAGGTACCTTTGGGTACCCATGATTTGATATTTTAATAATAGGCCGCCTCAGGCATATATCCAAACACAGTCATAGTTATCTACCCATTTAAAAATTACGTCTGCCAGATTGTTATGCAAGGAACTTGTATACCAGACACACACATCGAATCTAGAAGTGAAATTGTACTTTTTTTTTAGTAAAAATGACTTATATTTCAAAATATATACTTTAATATCTATGAAAGCAGTATAACACCATATAAAATAAAGTTTTTCGGGTAATATTTATCAGTTCTTGCGAGTTCTTCGAAATCGTATTACCCAATAACTTAGCATTGTGACATTCGAAAAGTACAGGAAACTGCATGATGTGAAAGTCGTCAATTAATCATTTAATTGAAAAATTTCAGAAGTAGATACATTTTATTTGCCAAATTGATCATATATAGCACAATCTAGATACAAAAGCTAAAATTGTAGATAAACAGTATCTTTTGGACAACTATAAAGCCATTTTTCTCAAAACAATGTCACTCAGGGGAACAAAAAATTGTTTTATGTGAAAACAGCAAAATCATAAACAACACCAAAGATGTTTCAGAACACTTTAACACATTTTTTTCGACAGTTGCAGACAAGATTGGTAGTGATGTGATATACGACCCACAACTCATGCCAGTATCTTGCAAATAAAAGATCAAAACTGCACTAACACAAAATTTGATTTTCAGAAAACAACAACAGAAAAAGTAGCAAAAATTATTAACAAAAATAACATTAAAAAAGCTACTGAAGTAGATGGCATACCAGCAAAAGTAGTGAAATATTGTAAACCGATAATTGTGCCACAGTTAACATTTATAAATCTATCTATAGAAACTGGAGTATTTCCTGATAGACACAAGCAGGCTCAAGTAACACCACTGCACAAGAAAAACAACCAACTTGACAAAGCCAATTATAGGCCTGTCAGCGTTCTACCAATTTTTTCTAAAATTTATGAAAAGGTTTTTGAAATTCAACTTGGTGATTTTTTTGAAATTTTTTTTCATCCCTATCTGTGGGCTTTTAGACGTGGCCATGGGTGTCAGACCACACTGTTACTATTGCTAGAAGATTGGCGTGCAGCATTAGACAAAAACCAGTATATAGCTGCTGTTTTAATGGACCTTTCAAAGGCTTTTGATTGCCTACCACATGAAATTCTGCTTTATAAATTATCAGTATATGGTGTCTCTGCTCATTCTCTTTCACTACTTATATCTTATTTGACAAACAGGAAACAACAAATTAAAATAAATAGTATTCTTAGCAGTTGGGCTGACATTCATAAGGGGGTTCCCCAGGGTTCTATCCTGGGCCCCCTACTATTCAATGTTTTTATCAATGATATATTCTTATCTATAAAAAAATGGAACTCTGTATAATTATGCAGATGACAATACTTTATCTTACTGTAGTCCTGATTATGATGGTTTGATTTCTACTTTGGAATCTGAATCACTCAAACTTATTGAGTGGTTCAAAATAAATAAAATGCAGGCAAACCCCGACAAATTCAGGTCTTAGCAGTTGGGAAAAAGACATATAACAAAAATCCATCTACATGTATACCTATCCAAAGTGCTGATCTTTCGTGTGAGTCAACTATCAAATTACTTGGCATTGACATAGATTATCACCTAAATTTTGATATTCATATTGGTAAAATATGCAGGAAGGCATCTCAGCAACTAAATATTTTGAAACGTTTGGAAGCTTATCTGAAAAAGCTAAGTAAGCTTCTATTTTCCATACATTTATTTTGTCAAATTTCAATTTCTGCCCTTTGGCATGGCATTTTTGTACCGAGAAAAATTAAAATAAAATGCTCCGCTGGGCGCAGCTTGATATGACCACCGAGGTCGAACCCTGAACAGTTGGGGCAAGTATGGACACAACATTCAAGCTTGATACAGCACTGAATTTGAATTGTGATTAAATATTTGACACAGCATAGGTTTCTGACACAGAATGAATGTGGTCTAAGAACTTAAAAAATTTTAATTTACCTATTCAAACCATATCATTATTATTTGCTTTTATATATAAATCAGAAATAACCAATTTAAAATGGAAACTTTTAAAGAAAAAAGAGTGCAAAAACCAATGTGTCTTCGGCTGACGACGACGAAGCCAACGTCATACCAATATACGACCACAAATTTTTTTTGCGGTTGGATAAAAATTTAGAAAAAGTGCAAGAAAGAGCACTAAGGTTTGTGTACGAAGACCATTCAAGCTCATATCAACAGTTGCTTGAAAAGGCTAAGATGCCTTCACTGCATATTAAAAGACAAAGATCAATGGCAATTGAAACTTTTAATATAGTCAATAAATTAGCACCTGTCTGTTTACATGATTTATTAAATGTAAAAGATTGTAAATATTCTTTCAGATATAGTAATATACTGGATATACCACAAGTAAAAACTACACAGTTTGGTAAGAAAAGTTTTAAATTTGCAGCTGCTACTCTGTGGAACAGCCTACCTGACCATTTCAGGACTGAAAACAGTTTTTCTCAATTTAAGAGCCTTATACAGTCTTGGAATGGTTCAAAATGTTGTTGTTCTGCTTGTAGATAAGCTTTTTCATATTTTAGAAGTTGCTCTAACATGTTATTATGCCTTAAAATTTTGCATGTGTGCTATATTTTATTTGGGCTTAATTTTAGTTGTGCTTAAATTTTAGTTGTGCTTCAGCTTTGGCTTTAGATATTTATTTTAGTAGTGCTTTGCATGTATTTCAATAATAATATACCTGTGCTGTTATATATCCTGTCTGCATGTTGTGTGTTTTAATGTTGTGTTTGTGTTACCTTATATTCGGTAAAAAGCTTGTAAGAGCTTATGTTTCTATTGTTATATGTGAACCGAATCAAAATAAAACTTTAGTATTCGTATTCGTATAACTAACTACGAAGTAGTCCAAATAATTATGACGTCTTGAAAGGCTATTATATTTTTTTTCTTTGACGCCTTACATCGAAGGAAGGCGTCAAAGCAAAAATTTAAAAATAGCCTTCCAAGACGTCATAATTATTTGGACTAACTACGCAGTGAAGTATTAGTGCAGTTTTGTTACAGTGTGTTTTACTTCTTAGAAAAAAAAATGGTTAAGATTTATGTCTGTATTTAGAAATAAAACTGTTTTTAGAAGGTAATTGACCAATAAGATAGCAGTGACAACCTGTTGATCCACCACTGGACCTGCTCAAAAGTGAACCTAACAAACTAGCTACGGAAAGCATTTTCCCCGCGGATGGTCCTTGACCTTTTTCTCAACCGTCAGTATAAGTCTAGAGATATTCGAAAGTCTTACTTTTCGGGATGCATCAGGTAGTTAGATCAATTCTCATGTAAAGTCCAGAGAAACAAGAATGAGTCCTGCAGTAAAATCAAGATGGCGTAAGAAACTATAAACAAATGTAGAATTTTCAAACTTAAACTGACATTTTATTGCTTTAGCGCCCTTAAATGCTTGATGCAACTTCTCAGTTGCAAAATTTATTATAGGAGGGTCTTTTGATCATCAGATTTTAGTTAACCTAATGCAAACATGCTGTATTCATTAAGGGTTCTGTTTAAATTCTTGTTCAGACAAGAACAACAGGTTGAGTAAATCTAAATATCGAACATGACATGTATGTCTCGATTGAGCTGAAATGAATCAGGTGTTACATGTTTAAGAAGATATCAGAATAAGAATCATCATACTTTTTTGTAAACATATAATTTATTAGAATTATTATAATATAATTTATGTTTAACTTTCGGTATCACGATTTCCTGGAGGACTCCCTTAGAACTAATTATTGACCCGAGGACCAATAGATTTGACATGAGAACTTGATTTTACATGGTGTTATACTACTTAACAGATATTAAAGTATATAATACATAATATACTGATATAATTTACTTTTATTGAGTAAATACGACTTATATTTTAAAATTATATACTTTAATACTAGTTTAAGCAGTATAACACCATATAAAATCAAGTTCTCGGGTAAGACTTATTGGTCCTCAGGTCAATAAACAGTTCTTGGGAGTCCTCAGGAAATCATGGCACCCTTTAACTTGAGGGTACCTAAAATCTCATCTATTTCGACAGTTTTTTCAACTGCGTTTATTTATTTCAGAAACAGACGAAAGTTTCAATTCTGTGTTTATTTTGTAGATGCATGTATCTTTATTTACTACCTACAACTTACTCTTACAACTGCCGTTAGTGCCAAACATCCGAAAAATTGAATTACTGATGTTTTGTTAAATTAAGTCCCATGTTAGTTGTTTTTCTTAAATTTATTTTATTTTGTTTTGACTGGTTTAGGGATTCATTCCTTTCCACATAAAATTGTATTTAATGTCTAACATTTGCATCTTGGTCAGAATTATTCAGGACGAGAAGGCTTTTCTTTTTTTTTGCCTTTAGACTGTTGACAACATGTTGTTTTTTTCAAATACTAAAGATAACAATCATTATACATACAAAATTATTGAATGATCTTGAACAAAATAAGTGTCGACTACATTTATTATTGCAATTTAAAATCTATATGCTTTCAGGATGAGTAAAGGAAATTTCAGACCAAAGAAAATGGACTTCACAGAAAGTGATGACAGTGATATTGGTAAAATATGTAGAATTATAAAGAATTGTCACAGCTCTGTCAAGTGATTTTATATTTGTAATCATGAATAAAAAGTAGATGTTTCATATATTTTAATGAGACGACTAAACAACACAAAATGCCAAAAGACATCTTAAGGTCAACCAACATAACAATACAGCCTGCAACAAACTATTAGACAAGTGTCTATTACAAATGTTATTTCTAAATATGTCTACTTGATTTAAAATAGCTGTGGATTAATTTATCTGAGACTAAAAAAGATCTGACATCAAAATCCCAAATGACTAAACCATTATTATCGGAGACTAAAAAAGATCTGACATCAAAATCCCAAATGACTAAACCATTAAGATATAATAAAAGAAAAGCACCTACATGTAGTGACAGATAAGCTTGAGTTATTACCTACATCAGCACCATCAGGCCACACCCAAATTTTGGTTTGCCCAAACCCTATCCAAAGGTAGAGACAGTGGGTAGGTAGGTAAGCAGTTTCTTTTTTTTTTCGGCAAAGAGAAATTGAAGTGTCAGAATTTGTTTAGTCTTCATGCCCATCTGATTAAAAAAAACTTTTTCACATCAAGACAATAAAAGATTTTGAGTAGGCAGATATTTTCTGGGTAGGTAGGGTTAGGGCAAACAAACATATTCTTTTTTATGGCCTCAAGTAAAAGCTTGAGTTATTACCTACATCAGCACCATCAAGTAAAAGCTTGAGTTATTACCTACATCAGCACCATCAAGTAAAAGCTTGAGTTATTACTGACATCAGCACCATCAAGTAAAAGCTTGAGTTATTACCTACACCAGCACCATCAAGTAAAAGCTTGAGTTATTACCTACACCAGCACCATCAAGTAAAAGCTTGAGTTATTACCTATATCAGCACCCTCAAGTAACAGCTTGAGTTATTACCCACATCAGCACCATCAAGTAAAAGCTTGAGTTATTACCTACATCAGCACCATCAAGTAAAAGCTTGAGTTATTACTGACATCAGCACCATCAAGTAAAAGCTTGAGTTATTACCTACATCAGCACCATCAAGTAAAAGCTTGAGTTATTACATACATCAGCACCATCAAGAAAAGGCTTGAGTTATTACCTACAGCAGCACCCTCAAGTAAAAGCTTGAGTTATTACCTACAGCAGCACCCTCAAGTAAAAGCTTGAGTTATTAAATAATTACCAACATCAACACCCTCAAGTAAAAGCTTGAATTATTACCTACATCAGCACCCTTAAGTAAAAGCTTGAGTTATTACTGACATCAGCACCATCAAGTAAAAGCTTGAGTTATTACCTACAGCAGCACCATAAAGTAAAAGCTTGAGTTATTACCCACATCAGCACCATCAAGTAAAAGCTTGAGTTATTACCTACATCAGCACCCTCAAGTAAAAGCTTGAGTTATTACCTACATCAGCACCCTCAAGTAAAAGCTTGAGTTATTACCTACACCAGCACCATCAAGTAAAAGCTTGAGTTATTACCGACACCAGCACCATCAAGTAAAAGCTTGAGTTATTACCGACATCAGCACCATCAAGTAAAAGCTTGAGTTATTACCGACATCAGCACCATCAAGTAAAAGCTTGAGTTATTACCGACATCAGCACCATCAAGTAAAAGCTTGAGTTATTACCGACATCAGCACCATCAAGTAAAAGCTTGAGTTATTAATGACATCAGCACCATCAAGTAAAAGCTTGAGTTATTACCTACAGCAGCACCATAAAGTAAAAGCTTGAGTTATTACCGACATCAGCACCATCAAGTAAAAGCTTGAGTTATTACCTACATCAGCACCATCAAGTAAAAGCTTGAGTTATTACCTACACCAGCACCATCAAGTAAAAGCTTGAGTTATTACCTACACCAGCACCATCAAGTAAAAGCTTGAGTTATTACCGACATCAGCACCCTCAAGTAAAAGCTTGAGTTATTACCTACAGCAGCACCCTCAAGTAAAAGCTTGAGTTATTACCCACATCAGCACCATCAAGTAAAAGCTTGAGTTATTACCTACATCAGCACCATCAAGTAAAAGCTTGAGTTATTACTGACATCAGCACCATCAAGTAAAAGCTTGAGTTATTACCTACATCAGCACCATCAAGTAAAAGCTTGAGTTATTACATACATCAGCACCATCAAGTAAAAGCTTGAGTTATTACCTACAGCAGCACCCTCAAGTAAAAGCTTGAGTTATTACCTACAGCAGCACCCTCAAGTAAAAGCTTGAGTTATTAAATAATTACCAACATCAACACCCTCAAGTAAAAGCTTGAATTATTACCTACATCAGCACCCTTAAGTAAAAGCTTGAGTTATTACTGACATCAGCACCATCAAGTAAAAGCTTGAGTTATTACCTACAGCAGCACCATAAAGTAAAAGCTTGAGTTATTACCGACATCAGCACCATCAAGTAAAAGCTTGAGTTATTACCTACATCAGCACCCTCAAGTAAAAGCTTGAGTTATTACCTACATCAGCACCCTCAAGTAAAAGCTTGAGTTATTACCTACACCAGCACCATCAAGTAAAAGCTTGAGTTATTACCGACACCAGCACCATCAAGTAAAAGCTTGAGTTATTACCGACATCAGCACCATCAAGTAAAAGCTTGAGTTATTACCGACATCAGCACCATCAAGTAAAAGCTTGAGTTATTACCGACATCAGCACCATCAAGTAAAAGCTTGAGTTATTACCGACATCAGCACCATCAAGTAAAAGCTTGAGTTATTACCGACATCAGCACCATCAAGTAAAAGCTTGAGTTATTACCGACATCAGCACCATCAAGTAAAAGCTTGAGTTATTACCGACATCAGCACCATCAAGTAAAAGCTTGAGTTATTACCGACATCAGCACCATCAAGTAAAAGCTTGAGTTATTACCGACATCAGCACCATCAAGTAAAAGCTTGAGTTATTAATGACATCAGCACCATCAAGTAAAAGCTTGAGTTATTACCTACAGCAGCACCATAAAGTAAAAGCTTGAGTTATTACCGACATCAGCACCATCAAGTAAAAGCTTGAGTTATTACCTACATCAGCACCATCAAGTAAAAGCTTGAGTTATTACCTACACCAGCACCATCAAGTAAAAGCTTGAGTTATTACCTACACCAGCACCATCAAGTAAAAGCTTGAGTTATTACCGACATCAGCACCCTCAAGTAAAAGCTTGAGTTATTACCTACAGCAGCACCCTCAAGTAAAAGCTTGAGTTATTACCGACATCAGCACCCTCAAGTAAAAGCTTGAGTTATTACCTACATCAGCACCATAAAGTAAAAGCTTGAGTTATTACATACATCAGCACCCTCAAGTAAAAGCTTGAGTTATTTTCTACAGCAGCACCATCAAGTAAAAGCTTGAGTTATTACCTACAGCAGCACCATCAAGTAAAAGCTTGAGTTATTACCTACACCAGCACCCTCAAGTAAAAGCTTGAGTTATTACCTACATCAACACCCTCAAGTAAAAGCTTCAAGTTGCCATCCAGCTGTTTTGATTCAAGCGGTTCAGGTCAGTCATGTGTAGAATAAATGCATGGCCTACCATATTATAAGCCTAGTATCTGTTTCTGTTGACTGGGTCAATAACACTGCTGGTAGACGTTTCATCCCATAGGATATCACAAACCACTTTGTGTTGACATGAAATATCATTTATATATGTTCATTTTCTGTAAATTTACTTCTATAAAAATGTTGAGTTAAATGTTGAGTTATTAGAAACACTAATGTTTTTCTAGCTCCTGATGATGCATAGATTGCCTTTATAGCTGTATTTGGCACAATTTTCAGGAATTTTCTTTTTGTAAAGCTTTTCAACTTTGAATTTGATTAAAGGCCTTCAACTGTGATATGGTTTATATCCCGGAGATGAAGTGTACATCTGATGTACCAAATTATAAGCCTAGTATATCTTTGATGAGCTTTTTCACATACATTTTATACATGTGTAGACCTTTTTCACAATATTTTAGGTCCAAGGTTTAATTTTATATTTGGTTTACCCAAATTGGCTCTATGAATTACAGCAGCAAATTGTTTTTTCTAAAGTTTCTGTTTTCTAGGATTACTTGAAATAAATACATACTCAGCCATTAAGCACTCTATATATTTACAGATTCCACAGTGACCCCTATCAATCCACCAGATGACAATCCACATGGACAGATCATTGAGTCAGACAGTTTGTCAGATTTCTACCTGAATGAAGCAAAACAACGAAAAAATCCAAAACATCAGAGGAAAAAGAGAAACCATTACCACTCTGATCACTCTGCTGATGAAGGTATAGTTAAATTAATGAAAACAATAATAATGTTTTAAATCTAATGACAGCTTTTTTTATATTTTTGGTTTTATTAGACTATAAAAAAACTTGGTGTCTGTGTTTCGTGTATATTAATATTAAAAATTTAATTACACAGAACTTTGTTTATCTGGTCTAGTCAGATTAAATAATTGCAAAACTTGTTGTGTGTTTATGTGTGTGTGTGTTAATAATAATAATCTAATTACACAGATCTGTTTTGATTGGACTATGGCAAAACTTGGTGTTTGATTATGTGTATGTATTGCTACATATGAAATAAGAAGATGTGATATGATTGCCAATGAGACAACTCTCCACCAGATAAAATGACATAATTAACAACTATAGGTCACCTTACAGCCTTCAACCATGAGCAAAACCCATACCGCATAGTCAGCTATATAAGTAATTCTTGACTCCTGCCAACCATGGATCTCCATGAAGAAAGAAAGCTTTGGTGTAATTCTTTAAATTCAGAAATTAAAGCATGCATTTATAATTGCTAATATTTGATTACTGGTAAAAATGGGAGATCTACATTTCAAAACTGAAGTAAGAGAGGTAACCATTGTATACTGCAAACAAAAGGCTGCTGAAAGTAAAAATGAAATACAAATTTTAGAAAATAAGTTAAAATGCTTATATGAAAAATCAAGTAATTCAGAAAATTTTAGAATAGAAATAAATAATGTAGAAAACAATTTACAAAATTTATACATAAAGGAAACTAGAGGTGCACAAGTAAGGTCCCGAGTCATATGGGTAGAAGAAGGGGAAAACAATACAAAATACTTTTTGGGTCTTGAAAAATCAAGACAAACAAAGAAAACTATTTCTGCCCTTAAAAATGATCAAGGTAATATAGTTACAGATTCATCAAATATACTTACTCTTGGAAAAACTACTACCAAAACTTGTATAAAAGTACTGAACCAGACCCTTCCGAAAATAAAAAAATATATTAGTGAAACAAAGATAGATCACTCACTATCCAATAATGATAGTCAACCATTGGGCGGCAACCTAACAATAGAAGAATGCACAAATACTATATTCAATATGAAACTAAATAAATCCCCTGGACTAGATGGTCTAAGTGTAGAATTTTAACGTACTTTTTGGTCAAACCTAAAAGAATCTGCAGTGAAAGTATTTAATACATGTTATCAAAAAAAGAAATAGCATCTCTCCAAAAAATTGGTGGTTTTTCCCTTCTATATAAAAAAAATGATCCATTATCATTAGATAACTACAGACCAATAACTTTATTGAATGTAGATACTAAGCTTATGGCCTATGCCTTAGCGCAACGGTTAAAAGTGGTGTTGTCTAAAGTTATTCATAGTGATCAGAATGGTTATATAAAAAATCGTTACATAGGTTTTAACATTTGCCTGATTCAAGATATTATAGATTACTCAGAAAAATTTAATATAGATAGAGTTTTATTGTTCATCGACTTTTTCAAAGCCTTTGATTCTTTGGAATGGCCCTTCATGTATGAAGCCCTATTACAATTTGGATTACCACACTCCTTCTTAAAATGGGTTAAAACTTTATATAATGATACTAAAGGGTGCCTGTCGAATAACGACTGGATCTCAGAAACCTACAGTCTTCACTGTGGGATAAAACAAGGATGTCCGTTAAGTTCTCTAATTTTTGTCGAGCCTGCGACTTTTGTTGCAGAAAGCTCGACATAGGGATAGTGATCTGGCGGCGGCGTTAGCTAACTTCTTAAAAGCTTTATATTTTAGAAGCTAGAAGACCTGGATGCTTCATACTTTGTATATAGATGCCTTATGTTACGAGGTTTCTGTCTGTCAAATGTCCATTGTCCTTGACCTCATTTTCATGGTTCAGTGACTACTTGAAAAAAATGTCAACATTTTTTGTAATGTTAATTTCTTTCTTATTATGAGTAATAGGATAACTATATTTAGTATGTGCATACCTTGCAAGGTCCTCATGCCCGTCAGACAATTTTCATTTGACCTCGACCTCATTTCATGGATCAGTGAACAAGGTTAAGTTTTCGTGGTCAAGTCCATATATCAGATACTATAAGCAGTAGGTCTACTATATTTGGTATATGGAATGATTGTAAGGTGTACATGTCCAACTGGTAGGTGTCATCTGACCTTGACCTCATTTTCATGGTTCAGTGGTCAAAGTTAAGTTTTTGAGTTTTGGTCTTTTTTTCTAATACTGTATGCAAAAGGTCAACTATAAATGGTGTATGGAAATATTTTATGATGTACATGTCAGTCTCACAGGTTTTATTTGACCTTGACCTCATTTTCACGGTTCATTTCTCAATGTTAAGTTTTGTGTTTTGGTCTGTTTTTCTTCAACTATAAGCAATAGATCAACTATATTTGATGTATGGAAGGATTGTAAGGTGTATATGTCTGTCTGTCAGGTATCATCTGACCTTGACCTCATTTTCATGGTTCATTGGTCAATGTTAAGTTTTCATGGTTAAGTTTGTTTCTTAGATACTAATAAGCAATAGGTCAACTATATTTAATGCCTAAATTGATTGTAAGGTGTACATGTCTGTCTGGCATGGTTCATCTGACCTTGACCTCATTTTCATGGTTCATTGGTCAATGTTAAGTTTTCTTGTTTAAAACTGTTTCTTAGAAACAATAAGCAATAGGTCAACCATGTTTTGTTTATTGAATGATTGTAAGGTGTACATGTATTTCTCGTTTGGTTTATCCGACCTTGACCTCATTTTCTTGGATCATGTTAAGTTTATGTGTTACTTGTAGTAAAGCTTTGTATTTAGGACTATCAACATAAAATCAATGGTTAGTAAAGAAGGCAAGACATTTCAGCGTGTGCACTCTTGTTGTTATAGCATTTGAAATCCTGGCCTGTAAAGTAAGAAAAGATTCTAACATTAAAGGTTTTCAAATTAAACTTAATGATAAAACGCATAGTCTATAAATTTCCCAATTGGCTGATGACACAACTCTCTTTCTCAATTCTAAAAATGAAATTAGCCTAGCATTGAACCTAATAGAAATATTCGGAACACTTTCTGGTTTAAAACTAAATAAATCTAAAACAGAAGGTATATGGTTAGGTAGACTCAAACATTGTAAAGAAAAATTTGAGAATATACACTGGAGCAAAGAACCAATAAAACTTAAGGTATAAACAAGAAGATGTGGTATGATTGCCAATGAGACAACTCTCCACAAGAGACCAAATGACACAGAAATTAACAACTATAGGTCACCGTACGGCCTTCAAAAATGAGCAAAGCCCATACCGCACAGTCAGCTATAAAAGGCCCCGAAATGACAATGTAAAACAATTCAAACGAGAAAACTAATGGCCTAATTTATGTACAGAAAATGAACGAAAAACAAATACTACTTTGGGTTAGATAAAGACAAATGTGACAAATTAAATATTGAAAAAATAATGAAGCAGTCAAAAAAATTAATATTCAATTGGGAAAGAAGAAATTTAACAATGATAGGTCGAATAACAGATGTTAAGTCACTTATCTTACCCAATCTTACTTTTTTAGCATCGGTTGTTTCCATACACCAAATCTACATAAAAGACTTCAAAAAACTTATATACAATTTTATTTGGAACAATAAACAAGAAAAAGTTAAACGTTCAACTCTTAGCAAATATCACACAAATGGGGGTCTGAAAATGACAGACATTGATAATTTCTTAAATGCATTACAAATTTCATGGGTTAAACGATTAACTACAAAGGAATTTGCTAATTGGAAAGTCATTCCAACATATTATTTTAACAAATTTGGTTAAAACTTCCTTATATTTCATATGATGCCAGACAACATAAACTCAATACCCAATTTAAGTAACACAATACCCTCATTTTACTTGAACATATTAAAGAGCTGGTACAAAGCAAATAATACACCAACGTGTATCACACCAATCACACACTTTAAAAATATTAGGCAGCAAATGTTGTGGGGTAACAAAAAATATAAAATTTAAAGGAAAATGTTTAGTTTATCTGAATTGGATAAAAGATGGTATTATTTACATCAATGATATTATTGATTATAAAGGGCATATTTTACAAAAAGTTACATTTATATTGGAGAAATTAACCTCTAAACCTAATTTGATCTCAGAACTTTCAAAATTGAAAAATTCAATTCCAAAGCAATGGCTAAATACATTAAAATCTGATATATCCATGAAAACTTCTGTAAAAACAAATTCAAAATTGTCCTTGACTGTTAACAGAACAACTAAACTAATTGAAATATGTTATCTAAAGAAATATACAACCATTTAAATATCAAGAATGATGAGAGACCTATAGGATTCTTTAAATGGAAAAACATCTTCAAATTAGAAAAAATCACTCCAATAAGTAACATGCTACAATTTACTTTTTCTTATTTAATAAATAACAAATATAAAATGTTAAGATGGAAATTGCTCCATTACATCCTCCCATGTAAACATTTACTACAACAATGGAACATACAAGATACAAGTATGTGTGTCCTGTGTAATTTGACTGAAGACTATGAACACTTTTTTCTTAAATGTCAATACTTTCATGAATTTCGGAACAAAGTTTATGTGCTTGTAAGCAAAACAAAGATAGGGTCACATATATTTAATATAAAAACTTTAGTTTTGGGCTATAAAGTACATGATCCTATGTATCATGATATTAATCTTTTCTTAACTGTCTTAATCTATTCAATTCATAAAAGTACTCATATATTAAATTATAAACAAAAAGGTATAGATGCTTATGCAGTTTTCAGAAATGAATTTTTGAGCACATACGAAATTAACAAATTCATTAATGCTAAAAACAGCAAATTTTTAAATGATATAAAAAGATACATATGATCATAATTAAATAGCTAGATATCTACTATTTTCAGATATACGAAAACTTTTGTAAAATCTCATCATGTATGCATTAAATAGATCTGAACACGTGGTAATAAATTAAAACTGCATGCTTACTGAAAACGAAAGTACAGTAGTTGTCTCCAAACTCATATGCTCATAATTTATCACATGACGGCTCAATCAGAATGTTGAAACTAACTTACGACTCCAAGACTTACCACTTCCAATATTTAATTAAAGTTTAAGTTGTTTGCGAGAACACTCAATAAGACGCATGAATTCATCAGTACAACTGATTAACGGTTCTTTACAAAAGGTTAAGGTCAATGATCATAAAGTTCTAATACTTAGAAACAAAACCAGACAAAACTGTACATTTTTCGTAATCATGTGATCATATATTTTCCAAAAATGTTTGTATTAACTATTTATAAATATGAATTCACTGGGTAATTTCCCTGGTTATTCAGTGACTAATTCACAGGGATACTCGTCCAACTGCTGTTGGTCGAGTAACTTGTCATTACAGCAAAGAAAAGTGCAATAAAGATATTTTTAGATGAAAAAAAAAAAAAAATGGGAGATCTATATTGTAACTGATGCGATGGCAAATATTGCGTGAAGGAAAATCTGCACTTTTAAAATTATGAATGCAAGTTTGTATTAATCCGAAACTGATTTTGTTGCATTTTTGCTTTAATAAAAAGATTGCAATAATTTCTGAATTTACAGTATACAGTATTTTTTTTCTAGATGAGTTCAATAAATCTAAAGAAGAAAACATCAAAGATATATATAAAGAACTGCAAGTTATCAGTGATAAGTTAAAGGTAGTATTACATTTATGTATATTCATTTATTTGAACCTACTGTTCACACATTAAGATGTTTGCTGGTGCTGAAGTATTCACTGTGTAATTTCTGGTCTTTGGAAGATAGAACATTCTGAATTAAAATCGTGTTATACACTATCTCATTTCATAATCACCATCATTCAGTAAATTTCATATTGTATAGGATGTTAATTCATCTATGGAAATGAAAAAGCAGTTATTACATTCAGAGATTTTAATATTGCAAGAGTAACCATTATTTTAGCTATGTTACTTTCAAAGGGTATTAACTCAGTAATATCTAATCAACTTCACCCGTACGAAATTATAAAGCGTATTACGCCTGGAAATCTGGCGTAAACCAGACGTAAGTGGTAGTTACGTGTCCTGATCCAGGCGTAATGGAGCAGGAAACGTAAATTTGTAGCATTTACAGGCGTAGAAAAAAGTGGTAAACCTGGTGTAAATTGAAATAAGCCAGGCGTAAATTTTTCTACGGGCGTAAAACTGTTGGAAGGGCGTCAATCATAATACCCATAATGCTTTGTTTAAAGGATCATGGGAAATTTTTTCAAAATTTGGCTCTCTGGTATTAGCTTGCAAGAGTTGGACATATGGCAGCTTGATATATTCAGGGGAAATTAGCTAAGTTTGAGTGCTTTTTGAAAGAATTTGAAATTGGAATTATGGAATTTAATTGAACGAAAATTGTGAAATGAAAGGAAAGTAGTATACATGGCCATGGTAAATAATATAATTATGTGAGTAACTAAGTTATTAATTTTTGATTTTTTACCATTAATTTCAAATTCTGGAAACCCTCATCCTTGGATAATAACATTTAAATCTTTCACAAGTTGAATTACAGTATTATCATTAATTTTTTTAGTAATTAAATGACATTAATTTTCAAAGCAACTAAGTCAAAATGCTAGTTTTATTTCAAGAAATTTTAATTGTCATAATTCTTATTTAAACTTAAACTTAATTGATCCAGTGTCTGTCTAATATGTATTTATTTATAAAGCTTCTTCAATCATGGTTAATATTTCAAGTTTTATGTCAAACAGTGAGAACTTTAAACAACAGTACAAGTTTGTATCAAATACACAAAGTACATAGCTAGGGTAATACACTGATTTAAATTAAGTGTAGTATTATGTAAGGACATTTTGCATGACCAGGCGTACTCATTTGCATATTACGCCTGGTTTTCTGTCAACCATGCAGGCATACTCATTTAAATATTACGCCTAATTTTACGCCTAGTTTCCGCCTCAGTTACGCCTGGTTTCCGCCTGGTTGACGCCTGTACATGCATTCCTTAAACACTGCAATGACGCCAGGATAAAGTATGATTTCTACGCCTGGTTTCCGTGTCATTTCCAGGCGTCACATTTCGTACAGGATTAATATCGATATAAGCATATATACATGAAAGAAAAATAAAAGGAATTTAAAAAAATATATAGGACCATATAACAGACCAAACAGACCACAAATGCCTGACTCCACCAAAAGTATCAAACAAAGACAAAAAAATATAGTTCAGGAAATCTGATAGTACAGACACAAAAAGTGTTAGAGTTTAAACAATAGTTATGTGTGCACTACTGTAATCTGCCATATACAATCTGTATTGAAATATAATCAACACACCTTTTTTCACCATGGGAATTCATGAAAAAAACCTTTTGTCACTTGTTGAAAACTTCTGGTGAAACTCCAGTAATTTCATGATGTGTGTGATCATTTGGTATTAAATATTTTCTAATCTAAGATTTAATATATTTGATATTCTGTGTAAACCTTTCAAGATGGAAAACAAGAAGATACATGAAAGAGAAGAAAAAGTGAAAGAAAGAGAAAGAATTGTGGCCATATCATCAGCCAATGTTAAAACCATCACTGAACATGAAGTCAGGGAGAAACTGAAAGTGATGGAACAGGTATTTAGATTTGTCATACTTCCCTGCACCTGCATGACATATATCACCCTGCTGAGTCGCTAAATAATTTCAAGGCTTTTATACACGAGGCAAACTTATCAGCCATGTTGCAAATTGTGAGGAGAAATGATAAACAACATCGCTGTAGGAAATCAAAACTAAGAAAGCTAGCTTTCTTTAGGACAACTACAAAGCAAAACTGTCTATATGTGCCTGTCCAAATTCAGAAGCCTTTGATTCAATGGTTGTCTTTTGATGCTGTATATTTTATTTCTTTTTTTTAAAGTTGTTTTGTGTATAAATCAGGCTGTTGGTTTTCTTGTATGAATTGTTTTACATTTTGTCATGTCAGAGGCTTTTATAGCTTACTATGCAGTATGGGTTTTAATATTAAACTATGAGCCTAGGCTTTTACTAAAATGTATGTTGGTAACTGATGTATTTAACTAAGATGCATATGTGTGTAAAATATCTTTTTGGGTAAGATCTTGGCTGATAGCTATTTTGATCAAAAACTTCATTTAAATCGACCAATTAAGATAAACAATGTTGATTTCAACATGGTTATGATGTCATAGCGCCACCTCAAGTGCCCTTTCTGTACTTAAGTTTACAAGTTATATCAGCCTGTTTTTTTGCCCCCACCGCAGCAGAGGGGGCATTATGTGTTACCCTTTTTTACTGTTCTTGAGTTATGCCCCTTTATCATGTTTATAAATGGAAAAATTGCTGAATTTTCGTTTCCGTTCTCTAGCTTTAGTTTGCCTCAACCAAATGTCTTAAACTTATACACAATGCTTATTACCATAAAACACCGATCAAATTTGAATTTGGGTGGCATCACTTTTACTGTTCTGTAGTTATGTCCCTTTATAACGTTGTATGCAAGCGAGAGTATCATCTGTGTCCCATGGACGCATTCTCCATTTATTTTAATTTTGAAAGTCTTCATTTAATTTACTATTTTTATAATGGCTCTTATCATATACTTATAGAAAATAATGGTATAATTGTACCCCTTGATAAAACTGTAATTTGTACATAAATCTGAAGAATTGTCTTAGCCGTGTGATATGACTTTTGTTATCAACTGCTTCTGGTTTATATCAACTACTTCCGGTTATTATCATATGCCTCTCTGTAACGTAATCGCATGGCATTTCGACTTCACTCTGCAAATTCCGGAAAATACACCTCATGGTACGTTTTTAGTGAAAAACTTAACAAAGTAGGATAAAAAAAAAATCAAATATTAGGAAACAGGAAAATATATTATTAAAAAATGCAACAAATAATACAATACATGCATTTTTCAAAGTTTTAAAAATAGTTCTTGTCTGTATATCTTCTGCTGAAGTATATGATAAAAAGAACATAACATGTCATTTTTCATATCAGACTCCTTATCAGCCCATGGTCAAAATCATCCCTCGAGCCTGTCGGCTCTCGGCTGATATCATGACCTATATGAAAAATGACATGTTATAATCGATATTTATCATATACCTTTTTGATTTTTAACGTGGGTTTTAGCTAGCATTTAAAAATTATTTTCAATTTAGTTTTCAAGATTGCTGAACTATTGTTACTCATGAGCAAACAAGACCAAAGTTTATTTCCCCTTTATTTTTTCATTTGTTCAAGTGTAAAAAGTGTGAATGGGTAGGACAACAAAGGCACTGTTGCCTTTAACACTACCAATAATGAGATGTAAGACAGTAATGGTGCTATAGCCAACAATGTCACCAATAATGTGATGTCAAAATGCAATCCCAGATCTTTGAATTACTGGTTAAATGCATGAGATTATTAAATTCTCATGTGGGTTAAATTACAAATATCCTCCTCTGAAATTATTGGCCCAATTGAAACCGATCTTGGTCAGTGTTCCAGCTAGGATTTCAAAAGGGCAGGGTAGCAATCCTGAAAAAGGGCATTTAATGCGTGACATGATAATATGAAAAGGGCATGTTTTAATAAAGATATTAATCAAACATTGTGTTTATTCATTGAATCACTGGTTATATATATACAAGAACAACATCATAAGCCATATAAAACTCTATCTCTCTACTTTTTAGGCTGAAAAACTTGTCAAACACCTTGTCACACAAGTTTTCAAAGCATGCATTGCTTGACACAGTTAAGCTTTATATGCAGTGTGTTTTGAAAGGTGTCCTGGTTCATTCTGTTTCTATGGTCACACTTTACAAGTTTTACCTTGGGAAGACCCTTTCTACCTCTGATGTGCTTAAAGGCAATACAGCACAAAACAGCTGTGCTCAGTAAATGCACAATGTTAGGAATTAGTGAACAGTGAAAATTTGTATTAAAAATAAAGAATACAGAAAAGATGACCAAGGCACCCTATCAACCCTGCTACTAAGACCCTCTTTAACTTTTCCCGTAACGCAAAAGACCTTAACATATAAATTCTAAGGCCAGAAGTATGTAGACATATTTTAGAATATCTTTAGTAAGTAACTCAATGCTAGGAAAAAATTAGGTTGAGTTATCTTTCTTTATTCGAGTGTACTCCTTCTTTGGAGGATTATAAACAGTACGTAGAAAATGGTAAATACGATCAACAATGGCGGTCGATTTTGTTATTTTCGTATAAAAAATGAGGGCAGTCAAAGACAAATACGTCTGAATTGCTATTTTTTTACGGAAAACAAGTAAAACGATGTTTTTAGCAAGTTGATTATGGTTTTCGACTTTCCTGTCAATTATGTTTTCTCCATGAAACTACGGTAAACATTGCAAATATTGTGCCGAAGTTGTCGTATGAACATTTCTTCAAAGACAAATGCCGACTGACCGATTCTCTTTGAATGAATTAATGTTGATGATCATTAATGACCCATCCGATTAACGGATTAGCTGTAACAACAAATTATGACACCTGTTGTAACCGTTGATTAGTTTGGGGTTGTAAACAAAGTCATAAACTTGTCGCCAGCTAAAATTTCGTAATTGGCGGTTCACAACGAACAAAAAAATATGCAATCAATCTTCAAAAAGGCAGGGCGCCCTGGAAACTGTAAAAAGGGCACAGGGCGGCACTCGGGAAAGGGCGGGCGGACCGCCCTGTGAAAACGGCCTAGCTGGAACACTGTTGGTCATAATCATCATAATATAAGTAAAACAGGCAAGACATTTCAGCGTGTGCACTCTTGTTTTCATTTATAATGAAAACTGTTAATAGAAGGTAAAGAGAAACTGTGAACAGCAAAAACAAACAGATTAATTGAGAAGACTTTCTAAGTTGAAAAACTTGTGTCTGATCCTTTTGCTATTGTTTTGGACAATACAATATGTTTATACTTAAACTACAATCAGCAAAACAAGATCTACAAATAGGTCAACACAGTTTCTAATTGTCAGTTGACACCTTATTGGAGTAATTGCCCTTCAATGACAATTTATACCTTTTTTAAAATTTCGGGCAAAAATTATAATAGGTAGAGAAAAACTGTTGACAGCTTAACCCTTGTCACACATTTAAGTGCCTGTCCCAAGTCAGAAACCTTATTGTTGGTTGTCTTTAGTTATATCATCTGAATGTTTTTGTCCTTTGTGAAAAAATGGTGTTGGTGGCAGATCTTTCAAAGTCACTGTCAAGTGGCTGTTAATGTTTTTCATTACTTGTTCAAGCCTGTTTTTTTTAATTTGACAGGTTGTTTGGATTCGAGTGACGAGTGCACCTGCCACATGTGGGGTTCGAACTCAGTACCTCAGTGTTGACAGGCTAGTGATACAGTAGTTTGACTACTTAGACCACTCAGCCACTGAGCTCCCTTGAAATGACTACTTTGCCACCATGAACATTTGGAAATCATACAATCTGACTGAGGTGTAGTGTATAATCTATATTTTAGACTGAAAGTTTTGTAATAAATAGATAAATACAGCTTTAGTTTATAGTACTTTTATTCTTAATATTTCTTTTAGAAGTATGGCAGTTGCAGTTTTGTACTGCTATATGAACTCTAATACATGAATCTTTGCTTTGTAATGACGATACTGCTCTCTGTCTCCCCCTAAATACAACTTTCCGTCTTTGTCAATTGCTACACTTCTTACATCTTTTATTTCATAGCTCAGTTCAGTTTTATACAATTCAGAGTATCCAATAGCATTACCATTTTGTGATATTATGTGGAAAGCAGGCCTTCTGTAATCATCTACAAATTCATAAATTAAAATACATCCAGTGGAATGAATTATAGCTATATCTTGAGGACAAAAAAATATATTTGAATCAATTTTCTGATGCTTAGTACCATTATATGTCCATTTTAATTCCCCCTCTTGATCTATTCCCACAACCCTCCCTTTCATTTCTAAACTTGTTATGTCATGATATTGTCCTTTATCTCTATAATATGATTTCTCAAAAATGTCTATGAAGCAGATTGTATTGTCTTGGTCAGTCACTATTCTGGTAGGACATACAAACCATTCTCTCCAATATCTATCCTTTCCAGATTCGTGTATTCTTTTTACAATTCCTTCCAAATTTAGAACCACAATTTTTCCTGCTTTTGTTTTTATGTCTTTACCAGGAAATCCTTCACTTATTCCAACAATAATTTCATTGTTTTTGCTAACATGGATACCAAATGTTTTCAGTGGGGAAAATGAATGAAATGAAGCATAATCAATGATTTCTTTTCCCTTCAACAGTTTTAGCTCACATTCTTGAATTGAAAGCAGAATGTCCCCATTTGGCATAATTTCCATATCGAAAACTTTTGTTTTTGATAGTTCCTGTTCAACAAATATTTCAAATCCTTCAAACTTATTGTCACTAAAGAGATTGGGCTTAATGTCCATATCTGCATCTTCTGTTTCCAAAAATTCCTGTTCATCTTTTATTTCAGAATTTTTAAATTGATTGTCACAAATGGTATTAGGAAAAATGTCCATATCCCCAAGTTTTGTCTCCAACAATTCCTGTTCATCTTTTATTTCAGATTTTTCAAACGAAATTTTCT